GAAAAGTGCATATATATCCCATTATCAGGGGAAGACAACATTGCTTGTGATTAAAAGTTTGTTTTCTTATTTAATTTGGTTGTGATCAAAAGTAATCTGGAACCCAAACTCAGGGCAAATAAATAATAATTGGTGAGTCATTAGGATTAAAGTAGGGAGTTATATCTTTTAAAAGGTGCATTCATTTCAGACATTTTGCTTTTCTGATTATGGGAAGCAAGACATTTATGTCCTTTTATGGGCTTTCTCATAAGACTTTGTGCAAATGCACTACAATATGCATTTGCTTTACTATTAGAACAGCTCAAGAGGACCATAAGGTACAATTACCATTTATTTCTATATGCCAAGTTTACTGGCATATTTTCTTTGGGAGACCGCAAGTCTATCTGGCTGCTTCTGACCAAAGAGATTACTAATTCTACCAGAATCAGTAGCTGAAGTTGAGTGTAGATAAATTTCACTTCTTTTGGATCATTATAAACATCTCATTTGTTAATATAAATGTTTATTGATTTTTGCTTATTTCCTAAATACATGTCTAATGGAGAAACATTTTTAAATATGGATATATAAATAGAAAAACACAGAAACAAAATATCAATTATATTCTACCACTGAAGACAACAAACAGTAACATTTTAAACTTTGTCTATCTCATCTCTTTGCTATACTTATCCAAATGATACTTTTTACAAAAACTCATTATTTCTTAACTTTTTCCATGACTTGCTAAAGTCAACTACATACCATGTACTGATTTCCATTCCATTAGCAACTCTTTTACAAAAGTATTTTAAGGACTACATAGCATTCTACTGTATGGATGTTCTATAAATATATTTAGTTATTGAACTATAAGTATTTATAACATAATGAGTCAAAAGTGCACAATGATGATTTAAATTGCATTCTGAATGCATTTGACCACTTTTTCTACTAAAAGTCATAAAATCAGTAGAGATTGCAAGCTATCCATCAAAATCTATTCTACCCTTTTTCCTGAAAACATAGCTGAGATTACATTTCCCAATTCCCCTTGCTTCTAAGTATGAACCATATCCAGAAGGATATATGTTATTTTCACACTTAAACCTTAAAACACTGCACATGTGTTTCTCTGCATTCATTTCTCCCCCAAGAATCTCCCCTCCATGTCTCTACTGAAACCATGAATTTGCAGCAACCCAGCTTTAACCGAACAGATCACAACAGACCCTAGAAAAGAGCAATGACTTGAAAATAACCCGAGTCCCTGAATGACTGGGTGGAAGATACCAATCTTGGACAAATGTGAAAGAAAGAAAATCATGTATTTGTTCTTTAACTTATTATATTATCTGATCTCTCTGTTACAGTAGCAATTATGCCTAATTCACCTTCTCCTTATCCAGTGTAGTTCATCTACAGTAAATGATAACCCCATTTCTGCTAAGTCTGAAATCAGTTTATATTGGAACTTCCCCTTCCTGAAGTCTTTAGATCTTTGCTTCAGGAGCAACCCAATCATAATTTCCACTTCAGAATCTCTGAAAATAATAAGGAATGAGAAACATTCCTTAGGCCACAAATCAGGAAGGTCTTCAATGTTTTCTGCTTCAAGGTTTTTTTTAACTGACATTTGACAAAATAAGGCAATACCCACTCTCAATTCAAGAGGAGGCTCACTCAGATTAGAAGCCAGTCCTGTCATTGATATCAATTTCCTTTTGATATAATAATAATCTATATATAGGTGCTCAAAGAAACCCCGGAAATAGTCAAGATCCTTCTTTTTACAAGTGCAGAAACTGATGACCAGAGAAGTTAGCAGGCTTGTCCAACATTAAACAGGTGCAGATGCCACTAAGAATCAGAACTCAGAAATTCTGATTTCTTGTCGAAAATACTTTCTGCCACTCTAAATACAAAAGCACCAATAGGAAGAATTCCTTTTCAAACGTCCTATCTTTGAATCCTCAAACACATTGTCTTTTTCCCCAATGCTACCCCTACTTAAAACCAAACATACTGCAACCCAGTACACACAGTCCAGTCAGTCTCCCAGGCTGAATGAGAAGCATTCATTCATTGAACAATTATTATACAATAGCTATAGATTTATCACTGGTGAATAGGATACAATTTTTGCCTAAGGAAGTATACATCTAGAAAGCAAGCAATTATAATATTTTGAGTGTGATGAGGTATGGAGGATAGAGGAAAAATAAAATATTTATGGTTTTATATAATTACAAACCCCCTAACCCATTCCTGAAGGTCATGGAAGGCTTCCTGGAAGGGGTACCATGAGGCTGATTTCCAAATAAATGTGAAGATAAATTATGTGAGGTAGACAGATTGGGACAACAGGAACTATCATATATAATGGAACTCTAGGGGAAATCTCTACTTAACATCTGTTCCTATCTCCTTCAAATTCATTACCGTACTACCTTCCCCATATGCTTTTCCCATACACCAATTTCTGTTCCAAGTGATGAGACAATACTAGTCATAACCATGAAAAAAATGTAAAAACCCTACAGCCACCATGAACTTCAATTTAAAAATACCAGAAATAACTTCATTTTACTGCAATTTAAATCTCTTCTTTATTGTCACATTAATATTCTGTGCAAAATTGAAATATATGCTGAAAATATTCTGTTTCTTTATGCATGAATGACCATGATTTTGAAACTTTTCTCTGCAGCTCCTTAAAAGACTGATGAAGCCTTTAATCATTTGTCTACATGGAGGAGGTAAATGGGCCTGCCGCAGGCTCTCTGGGTCATGCCATCATCTGCTGGCTCCAGTGTTCAGAGCTAAATCAGAGGGGTTCATAATTGATAGCACAAGTGTAAATAATTCTACATACTACTGGTTTCCCAAAACCTCTTAATTATAGATGTGGATGTTTGTTGCATTTTATTAAATGTTTAAACAACTATTAAAATTATTTATGTTCCATGTATGATAATAAAATAACACAATTCAATGTGTGTTTAAATATTACCATAAAACTTTAAGCTACTTAACATACCTAAGGGAATATAATATTATATAAAAATATCATGACATGTATACCTCAAATGAATAGGATACATAAATAAAATTATGATGTACAAAATACTTAATGTATCAAAATATTAAAGTCTTCTTTTCAAGAATGTACAGACATCACAGTGAAAGTTCATTAGTGATATACCTTTGTGATTATATTGATTTTGAAACATTCCAACTTGACGTAATACAGTTCTAAACAAAGATTTACGTCAAGTTGTAATGTTATTAGAAACATGATATGGAGCAAAATCTAACGTTTTCTACCCATTTCTGAACATAAAGAAGTTTATTAATAATGCAGACCAAAGAACCTGTGTTCTGTAAAGACGTGGAAAACTTAATTTTAAAAAAAAAGTGCATTAGTATTTATTAAAAATTTTGGAAGGGATAAGTTAAAGACCAGATCAAGTGGTCATATTAAGGTAGTTTAGTTTTAAAATAAAAGTCTACACAATGCGAAACTCTCATTAAGAATCCTTATTTCGAAAGCCACAGATGTAATATCATATAGACACATTTCTTAGAAACCCAACATTTCCTATTTTATGGGAAACAGTGTGCTTAAAGAGTTACTTAAAGGATTTCTTAAAAATTAGGCTGAAGCAGGCAGATCACCTGAGGTCAGGAATTTGAGAACAGCCTGGCCAACATGGTGAAACCCCATCTCTACTAAAAATACGAAGTTAGCTGGGTGTGGTGGCATAAGCCTGTAGTCCCAGCTATTCGGGAAGCTGAGGCAGAAGAATTGCTTGAACCCAGGAGGTGGAGGTTGCAGAGAGCCGAGATCATACCACTGCACTCCAGCCCGGGTGGCAGAATGAGACTCTGTCTTAAAAAAAAAAAAAAAAGGCACGTGTATACCTATGTAACAAAAACTGCACATTCTGCACATGTAACCCAGAACTTAAAGTATAATTTTAAAAAAAAAGAATTAAAGCCTTAAAGCCTCCATTTTACAAATAGCAAAAGGGCAATAATGGCACTGTTTCTGTCACTATTAAAAAGTGAAATTGGTGTGCTATTGTTCTTAAGGGAGAGCTAATGTTCTCCAGTTGGTTCTGATACCCTCTCTCCTTCTGCCGCCAGTTAATTAACTCTCAACTGGTTTGAGAAAATTAGCCTTTACACAGGTTTAATCATTAATAGCTAAAAAATAAATAAGCTACCTTACCTACTCAGTGCTCTTATATAATACTATATAATATGAATATAAAATGAAATTCCTTATTCACTGTTATAGGTAATCAGATAAGAGGGAGAAAATACTCTCAGTTTGAAAAGGTAGATGGCATAATGTCTTACATTGTAATAATTACTTTGATCCAGTCTAATCACTCACCGCTTAAAACATTATCAACTTCAATAGTTCCAATCAAACATTAATAAAATGTTATTCCTGTGAGATAAATGTATTCCCTCAATCCCACCCCAACTGACTAAGTCTCTCAATTTTATCTAATTTTGATATCCAAACATATGTCATTCCTGTGAGCACATCCACAAGAATTTGAAGAATTCAATTCCTATTCACCTTCCAAGGAACTTTCTTATTCACATTAAAGCAGTATTTCTGCATTTTGAGTCAAATTTGGAGAGTTCCAGCACCTAAAAAGACACATGCTTACCTCTGATAAACTAGTAAATTTTCAAAAGGCTAAGATATTACCTTCTCTCAATATCAATAAGCTGACTATACACTTGCCTGTCCCAGTATCCCAGACCAGCCTCTGACCTACCTCCTTTCTGTCCACTCCGGTCCAGGTCTCTGCAGGCATTCTTACTCCGACTAAACAGGTGGCTGGTCCTCCAGCTCATTTTGTTCTGATTACCCAATATCAACCCTCCTCCTCTGACTCAACCCAACTCAGACTAAGCAGCTGGCTCTAATTCAACTACTTGTTAAATCACTCACACACCTGATTTGATTCTTTCATTAGTCTTAGAGCGCCTACCTTGTGCTCAGCTGTGTACTCCTATTTCGAAACAGCCTGTGAATCTGTTCTTGTCCTGGTGGCATTGAGATTTTTCTGCCTATTAACATGAAGAAAGATAATGTCACTATCTCCAGATGACTTCTCTAATGACTTATCTAACACATCTTACGTTATTTTAAAAGCCACACTGTTCACAAGATAATGATGTATATTAAAGTGAGGTCACTGTTTATCATAAATCATAAATCTTAGGCATTTTCTTTTCTTTTGTTACCGGTGACACACATGCCTGGCATGCCAGCAATGACCCAGGCCTAAGACCTCACAAAGTGAGCAGCTGTGCTATTCACCATATACTTCTGGCTCTCTACCTTCCAGGCACATGACAGAACTGCATTCCCCTGTCCACTTTGAACTTAGGCCCAGCTATGTATTTTCCTTGAAATGGTAACAGAAGTGTCAATTCCAGGCAGTAGCTCTAAGATCCAGTGTAAGGCTCACCCCATCTTCCAGCTAAGATGATCATGGAAGCTTTGTTGCAATGGAGTTGCTCTGAGCCTGGTTGAGAGATGAGCAGAGCTTCCTGCTGGCCTATGTTGGGCAGGTAGTGTGAGCAAAAAAACATAAGTCAAGTTTCTAAAATTTTTGGAGGTGCTTCTTACTCCAGCATTAACGTTGCCAATTCTGTCTAATATAGGAATTAAAGGAAACTTAAAAGGTAGAGTGAGACAGGCTTATATATCTGACAGGATTTATTAATATAATTAGTTAAAACTAAGCGAGCCCCTTTCAGCATGAAACAGTCACCATCTACTTACTTTAAAATAGAAATCAACTGGCGTTTTCTCCTTGTTTTATCTGAAAAAAATGACAGTATTTGGACACCAAACCATTATCATTTTTTCTTAGTTAGTAGCACAGAACATCCAGGCTAGGCTTTTTATCCCATAGCACCTGTAAAGACCGCAATTTCACATAACATACTTAACTTTAACTCAGTTTAGGGCTCTAATCACACATATCACATTAAACTAGCTATAAATTAATAGTAGATGATGATTATAATGTATAATTATAATTTAATATGATTTATGGAATTACTAGAAATCAGTTTCTACTAAAAATAACATGGTATTCTAAGTGACCTTAATAATATGGTATTCTAAATGACTTAATAAATTTTATTTCTTCATATATTTCTAGTAAATGATTAACAACTTCATGATCAAACCACTCAATGAGAAAACTCTTTAAAACAACATATGTAATCTTTGACTAAATACTGACCCCTAAAAATGTCTATCAAAAAGATGGCCGAATAGGAACAGCTCCAGCCTCCAGCTCCCAGCGTGAGCGACACAGAAGACAAGCGATTTCTGCATTTTCAACTGAGGTACCAGGTTCATCTCACTGGGGCGTGTCAGACAGTTGGCACTGGTCCACAGGTGCAGCCCCACCAGCAAGAGCTGAAGCAGGGCGAGGCATCACCTCACCTGGGAAGCACAAGGGGGAAGGGAATTCCTTTTCCTAGCCAAAGGAAATTGAGACACACAACACCTGGAAAATCGGGTAACTCCCACCCTAATACTGTGCTTTACCAAGGGTCTTAGCAAACGGCACACTAGGAGATTATATCCCACACCTGGCCCAGAGGGTCGCATGCCCACGGAGCCTCCCTCATTGCTAGCACAGCAGTCTGAGATCTAACTGCAAGGTGGCAGCGAGGCTGGGGGAGGGGTGCCCGCCATTGCTGAGGTTTAAGTAGGTAAACAAAGCCTCTGGGAAGCTCAAATTGGGTGGAGCCCACCACAGCTCAAGGAGGCCAGCTTGCCTCTGTAGACTCCTCCTCTGGGGAGAGGGCATCGCTAAACAAAAAGCAGCAGAAACCTCTGCAGAGGTAAATGCCCCTGTCTCACAGCTTTGAAGAGAGCAGTGGATCTCCCAGCATGGAGGGTAAGATCTGAGAACAGACAGACTGCATGCTCAAGTGGGTCCCTGACCCCTGAGTAGCCTAACTGGGAGACATCCCCCACTAGGTGCAGACCAACACCTCACACCTCACATGGCGGGGTACACCCCTGAGACGAAGCTTCCAGAACAAGAATCATAGCAACACTTGCTGTTCAGCAATATTCTATCTTCTGCAGCCTCCGCTGCTGATACCCAGGCAAACACGGTCTGGAGTGGACCTCAAGCAAACTCCAACAGACCTACAGCTGAGGATCCTGTTAGAAGGAAAACTTACAAACAGAAAGAACACCCACACCAAAACCCCATCGGTAAGACACCATCATCAAAGATCAAAGGGAAATAAAACCACAAAGATAGGGAAAAGGCAGGGCAGAAAAGGTGCAAATTCCAAAAATAAGAGTGCACCTCCCCCTCCAAAGGAACGCAGCTCATCACAAGCAACAGAACAAAGCTGGATGGAGAATGACTTTGACGAGTTGAAAGAAGAAGGCTTCAGTCAATCAAACTCAGAGCTAAAGGAGGAACTACGCAACCAGCACAAAGAAACTAAAAACCTTGGGAAAAGAATGGATGAATGGATAACTAGAATAATCAACGCAGAGATTGACCTTAAAAGAACTGACAGAGATGAAAACCATAACACAAGAACTACATGACAAATGCACAAGCTTCAGTAACCGACTCGTTCAACTGGGAGAAACAGTATCAGCGATTGAAGATCAAATGAATGAAATGAAGCGAGAAGAGAAATCTAGAGAAAAAAGAGGAAAAAGAAATGAACGAAGCCTCCAAGAAATATGGGATTATGTGAAAACACCAAATCTAACAAGCAAATGAAAAAAAAAAAAAAAAAAGGCAGGGGTTGCAATCCTAGTCTCTGATAAAACAGACTTTAAACCATCAAAGATCAAAAGAGACAAAGAAGGCCATTACATAATGGTAAAGGGATCAATTCATCAGGAAGAGCTAACTATCCTAAATATATATGCACCCAATACAGGAAAACCCAGAATCATAAAGCAAGTCCTTAGAGACTTACAAAGAGATTTAGACTCCCATACAATAATAATGGGAGACTTTAAACCCCACTGTCAACATTAGACAGATCAATGAGACAGAAAGTTAACAACGATATCCAGGAATTGAACTCAACTCTGCACCAAGCTGACCTAATAGACATCTACAGAACTCTCCACCCCAAATCAACAGATTTTACATTCTTCTCAGCACCACATCACACTTATTCCAAAATTGACCACATAGTTGGAAGTAAAGCACTCCTCAGCAAATGTACAAGAACAGAAATTATAACAAACTGTCTCTCAGACCACAGTGCAATCAAAGTAGAACTCAGGACTAAGAAACTCAATCAAAACCACTCAACTACCTGGAAACTGAACAACCAGCTCCTGAATGATTACTGGGTGCATAACAAAATGAAGGCAGAAATAAAGATGTTCTTTGAAACCAATGAGAACAAAGACACAACACCAGAATCTCTGGGACACATTTAAAGCAGTGTGTAGAGCACTAAATGCCCACAACAGAAAGCTGGAAAGATCTAAAATTGACACCCTAACATCACAATTAAAAGAACTAGAGAAGCAAGAGCAAACACACTCAAAAGCTAGCAGAAGGCAAGAAATAACTAAGATCAGAGCAGAACTGAAGGAGATAGAGACACAAAAAATCCTCCAAAAAAATCAATGAATTCAGGAGCTGGTTTTTTGAAAAGATCAACAGAATTGATAGACTGCTAGCAAGGCTAATAAAGAAGAAAAGAGAGAAGAATCAAATAGACGCAATAAAAAATGATAAAGGGGATATCACCACCAATCCCACAGAAATACAAACTACCATCAGAGAGTGCTATAAACACCTCTACACAAATAAACTAGAAAACCTAGAAAAAATGGATAATTTCCTGGACACTTACACTTTTCCAAGACTAAAGCAGGAAGAAGTTGAATCCCTGCATAGATCAATAGCAGGCTCTGCAATTGAGGCAATAATTAATAGCCTACCAACCAAAAAATGTCCAGGACCAGACAGATTCACAGCCGAATTCTACCAGAGGTACAAAGAGGAATTGGTACCATTCCTTCTGAAACTATTCCAATCAATAGAAAAAGAGGGAATCCTCCCTAACTCATTTTATGAGGCCAACATCATCCTGATACCAAAGCCTGATGGAGATACTACAAAAAAAAAGAGAATGTTAGACCAATAACCCTGATGAACATCGATGTAAAAATCCTCAATAAAATACTAGCAAACCAAATCCAACAGCACATCAAAAAGCTTATCCACCATGATCAAGTGGGCTTCATCCCTGGGATGCAAGGCTGGTTCAACATATGCAAATCAATAAACGTTATCCAGCATATAAACAGAACCAAAGACAAAAACCACATGATTATCTCAATAGATGCAGAAAAGGCCTTTGATAAAATTCAACAGCCCTTCATGCTAAAAACTCTCAATAAATTCGGTATTGATGGAATATATCTCAAAATAATAAAAGCTATTTATGACAAACCCACAGCCAATATCATACTGAATGGGCAAAAACCGGAAGCATTCCCTTTGAAAACTGGCACGAGACAGGGATGCCCCCTCTCACCACTCTTATTCAACATAGTGTTGGAAGTTCTGGCTAGGGCAATCAGGCAAGAGAAAGAAATAAGGGGTATTCAGTTCAGAAAAGAAGAAGTCAAATTGTCCCTGTTTGCAGATGACATGATTGTATATTTAGAAAACCCCATTGTCTCAGCCCAAAAATCTCCTTAACCTGATAAGCAACTTCAGCAAAGTCTCAGGATACAAAATCAATGTGCAAAAGTCACAAGCATTCTTATACACCAGTAACAGACAAACAGCCAAATCATGAATGAACTCCCATTCACAATAGCTTCACAGAGAATAAGATACCTAGGAATCCAACTTACAAGGGATGTAAAGGACCTCTTCAAGGAGAACTACAAACCACTGGGCAGTGAAATAAAAGAGGACACAAGCAAATGGAAGAATATACCATGCTCATGGATAGGAAGACTCAATATTGTGAAAATGGCCATACTGCCCAAGGTAATTTATAGATTCAATGCCATCCCCATTAAGCTGCCAATGACTTTCTTCATAGAATTGGAAAAAACTGCTTTAAAGTTCATATGGAACAAAACAAGACCCCACATTGCCAAGACAATCCTAAGCCAAAAGAACAAAGCTGGAGGCATCACACTACCTGACTTCAAACTATACTACAAGGCTACAGTAACCAAAGCAGCATGGTACTGGTACCAAAACAGAAATATAGACCAATGGAACAGAACAGAGCCTTCAGAAATAATACCACACATCTACAGCCATCTGATCTTTGACAAACCTGAGAAAAACAAGAAATGGGGAAAGGATTCCCTATTTAGTAAATGGCACTGGGAAAATTGGCTAGCCATAAGTAGAAAGCTGAAACTGGATCTTTTCATTACTCCTTATATGAAAATTAATTCAAGATGGATTAGAGACTTAAATGTTAGACCTAAAACCATAAAAACCCTAGAAGAAAACCTAGGGAATACCATTCAGGATATAGGCTTGGGCAAGGACTTCATGTCTAAAACACCACAAGCAATGGCAACAAAAGCCAAAATTGACAAATGGGATCTAATTAAACTAAAGAGCTTCTGCACAGCAAAAGAAACTACCATCAGAGTGAACAGGCAACCTACAGAATGGGAGAAATTTTTGCAATCTACTCATCTGACAAAGGGCTAATATCCAGAACCTATAAAGAACTCAATCAAATTTACAAGAAAAAAACAAACAACCCCATCAAAAAGTGGGCAAAGGATATGAACAGATACTTCTCAAAAGAAGACATTCATAC